TGGATAGAGAAAATGTGGTACATTTACACAATGGAGTACTATTCAGCAGAAAAAAACAATGGAATCATGAGATTCGCAGGCAAATGGATGACACTAGAAGAAACCATCCTGAGTGAGGTAACCAAGTCACAAAAAAAGAGAAACATGGCATGTACTCTCTGATATATGGATTTTAGACAGATCTGGGGAGTGCCAACCTACAATCCTATGGCCAGACAGTCTGGGAAACAGAAACTTCATTGAGTGGCTGATCGAAGAAGAGGCAGACTCCCTCGGTTAAGTACTGAGCTGAACTCAAGAAAGCCAGTAACAGAGAGGGAGGACTGATGATCAAAGTGATTAAGACTGGGCTGGTTTAACCCCCAGAAACAGCTGACCAGTCAAAGGTTAACTCTTGAATCCCAGGCATCAGCCCGGGAATCCAGCATGGGACTGATCAAGATCCCCTGAATCTGGGTGTCAGTGAGGAGGCCTAGGTAATCTATTGAGCCTTGGGCAGAAGATCAGTACTCATCCCAAGTATACACACGGACTTTGGACTCCCATAGAACAACGTGAGGTGCACTCTCACCCTGAACTCTTGGGGAAGGGTCTAGGCCCTGCCCTATATGAAATGACAGACTATGGACACCCCCATGAAGGGCCTCACCCTCCCTGGGGGAATGAGGGGTAACGGGGGGGGGGGGTTGGGGGGAGGGCACGGGAGGAGGGGAGGGAAAGGGAGAGGGCCCTGGAACTGACTTGTGAAGCAACCTTGTTTCTTATCTAAATTTAAACTGGAAAAAAAAATAAAAAAATAGAATGTACAACATTTTTAAATATTTTTTTAAATTTTAATAAAAATTATAAAAATTCTTAGAATAAAACATGAATGAATATTCAAAAACAATAAAATAAAATAAAACCAAAAAAATTGGTAACAGTTTGTAAATGAGGTACTGGTATTAATTAAAAGAATACACAGTAAAAGTAACACACGGGGAGTTTGGATACTGTGTGTTGTTGTGTTGTCTTTAAATTGTTTAATTGTGAAGAAAGGAACAAAAACTGCTAAAAGACATTTGATTATCAATGCTGCTAAATTAATCCAACTCATTTATTTTGAAAATGCTTTGACTTCTAAATTTAAATATAAGGCTGGGCAGTGGTGGCACATGCCTTTAATCCCATACTTGGGAGGCAGAGGCAGGCAGATCTCTGTGAGCTTGAGGCCGGGCTGGACCGACAGCCTCCAAAACAATACAGGGAAACCCTGTCTCGTAAAACCAAAAAAAAAATTATCTATAAATTTAAATATAAGGACAGGTTACTTAGGAAAAGAATTTCTGCTTTTGTTTCCACAAAAAATTAAAAGCTGTGGGTTCCTTCCAGACTAGTATGGTTTGATAAAGCAAGACCACCTGAAGCATTGGCCCAGGTGATCCAACATCTAAAACAGCTGAGATGATGCAGCCTTGCAGGCGACAAAAGCAAGGATTTCAACAGGTTTCTGGATTTTTTTGTCATTATTGCCCTGCTATTTCAACACCCCTTAATAGCAAGAAGTAGTTTGGAAAGAACAACACCCACATTCCCAAATATTGTTTATATATGTATGTTTACATTTATACAGGGTTGATTATTGATACAAATTTAAGGTCAATTTTGTGAGTCATCTCTAAAAACTTTTTTACAAGGATTGGGTATGGCTGTAGCCCCTGAGTGTAACTCAGAACTTCTCAAATAGAGGGATGATGAGGGGACACACGACTTTTTCAACCTTTTGTTTTAATTCAAGGATTGGCTGGAGTTGTTCTGTCACAGATATTTCAATTAAGGAAGTTTCATTTCAACAAACTAATCATGACCTAGGGATAAAGGATGACTAAAAGGTAGTATGTATGTTCCAAATGTATGGTATGGCCACATGGGTGTGTATGAAATGTTATTGTGAATGTGTGAATGTGAACTGCTTAAATTGCCTTGGATATGATAAAAAGGATACTTATGTTGCTTTGGAGATAGTTAAAAAGATACCTAAATTGCTTTGGATATAGCCAAAAGGAGAATCCAGCCAGTCAATGTCTTAACAGGAAAGGTTGACGATTTGAATCCTCAGAGCCAGTCAATGTGTTAACAGGAAAGGTTGATGATTTGAATCCTCAGAGCCACTCAGTAGAAATAACAAAAGCCTACAACATGGCCTAAGAGCCAAAAAAATATCTGTATGGAGGATTCTATAGAGTATCAAACAGTTCAAACAAATTTCAAAAAAATAAAAATGGGGGAGATGTTGAGGCCTAGCCCCCACAGGGTCTGTGAGTTGTTTGTCAGCTGATAGTCATAGGTGCATCCTGTTTTCTAGTCCTGGCATACTACCCGGGCCTTGACCCTCTTTCATCAACATCTACCCGGAGGAAAACATGCTCTCCTCCACCTGGGGTTTTTCCACTGTGCTGTAAGCCTTTATATAAGGCTGCTCTCTCCTAAAAGAGAGAGACCTCTCAGCACTTACAATAAAGACTCTCTCTCTCTCTCCTGGCAATAAAGGCAGCACATGCATTCTGTTAGTACAACCAGCTGGACTTCTTGTGTTTTTTTCCTGATAACTTGGACTTGCTTGTTACACGGGTACCTCAACAGTTCTTCAATTAAACCTGTTCCCAAATAGTATATTCTATTACTGTTGGAATTAGTAATATAAGAGAATCCCTCAATTTTAGTTTCATAGAGAAATATTTAAAGTATTTATTATTACAAATGCTTCATAACTTACAATAAGGTCCCAGAAATTCAAAAAATATATCATGTAAAAAATTCATCCAACACTCCTATCCCATCTGCATGATAGCTTAACAACACACTACACCGCAAAAAAATCCCTAGGCAACAGTTTCTCACTGCCTCTGTGGAGGGTCATGTGATAACATCATGCAATTTATCTCTGGTCTGCAACAAGATTGCAGATCAATACCTAATGCATGACTTGTAATGACTGCCATCTCCTGTCCCTTATTTTCAGTTATTTTAATGCTGTTAATATGAATGATCTTTAAATATAGTAATTGTGTAGTAAATAATAAGATAACATGCTTGATTCCATGGGTACTTAAAACATTTATGTTTCATTTACTTAAGTCTTAATATTGCATGCTCATTAATAGTTTGTTTGTAGGAACTAAATGTATAAGAGGCTATAAGGTTAATGGTAAATTTAGGAAATTTCCTTAAATAATGCAGCTCAACACATAATGGCCATATAAAAAGAGCAGAAGGCAAAACAGCTGTGCAGAATCACACTAGAGAAGTGAGCCTCTGTGGCAGATTGAAAATCAGCAGCCTGGGGATGAGGGGCTGCATGGGGGAACACTAAATCACAGCAGATGGAGGATGAGAAGCACACACATGAATAAAGCAAAGGGAGAGAGCAGACACCTAGATCGGCTTTTTTCTTAAGGTGGATGAACAAAGAGAACTACAATGGTTGTGTATCTAATGAACTGGCACTTTGATAGGGAAACATCTGAGCTGCTAGAACTACATGTCTTAAAAACTCTAAAGGATCTGGATATGGGTAGGTGAAGAAAAACACAGGATTATAAATTTTTAAAGGACTAGAACATGCATGTTGAAATTCTGTATACCATGTAATCAACTAAAACTTAGTTTATTATTAACAACTGCAGTATCATTATGACATCAAAATAACATGCTTCCTTTCAATTTGAAAAATATAAATATCTAATTACAGTTCATATGACTCAATTTATTGAGGGACAATTATCCCATCCATACACGTGTGTGTGTGTGTGTGCATGTTCATACATTTACAATTTTATAGATATTTGTAAGTTCCCACTATTATAGTTTTATTATCTTTTGTCTATACATATATGTATATATATATGTATATATACATATACATGAACATACAAACACGTTCTTTACAGCCAGTGACTTGATTGTCGATCTTTTATTGAAGGGCATTTAGATTGTTCCAATATTTTTTCCCATTAGAAATACATTTCAGAGCTTATAAAACAAAATGTTTTTAATTACTATCCTCAAGCTAATTGCAAAGCAATAGTGAATATTTGTTCTCTTTCCCTCTTCAAAATCATTTTAATTGTGACAAAACTCTTTTGATTTATCTTCTGTCACTTGACTCCAATTAATGGGCCCAATTATGATATAAAACCACTGGGGCAAAACTCTCAAAATATATAAATCTTTTCAAAAGTCATGAGGCTCTATGATTCCAATTCAGTGTTAAATGTAGGGTTCCTGATCAACTATTTTCCACAAACCGTGATAAAAACAGAGGACAAGTTCAGTGCTGGGCTGAAGTGTGTTTAAAATTCATGTGCAAGTAGGACTCCTCTGCATGATATAGTGATGCCTTCGGGACCCTCACCTGTAAGCAATAATGCTACCTATCATTTTGCTTCTGTAAGGAGTAAAAGAGGAATTTTCATGATTCAAAGGATATGTCTTACATGCCTTCCCTTCAAAGATTCTGATGAATTTATAATGAAGTAGCTCATATAGCCATTGTCCAGAGGCTAAAGTTGAACATTATGTCTACTGAGTCATTTCCCAATATCTAGAGCTCTATCTGTACTAGGCAGCCAAACACTTTGACCAGTGAGTATTCAACTCTGAAACACAGAACTGGATTGCTACTATATTTATACCTCACATTGCTGTCGTCAATAGATTATTGTAAATATATTTAGGCCCTATCCCATACCTAATAAGCCTGAAGCCTAGGGAATTAAGCCCATTGTTTCTCAGGGGGTACTATGAGTAATTTGGATGTTTATTCAAAGTGCAATTACATAAGGATATGCTATAAATCTTTCTTAAATGTGAATGTTACCTAAATAACATTCCTTAAAAGTGGACTACATGTAGATAATGTGTTTTTTGCATGTCAAGTGAAATTAGAAGTTTTTAACAATAGTCCCTTTGACATTGTTGTATGTATTTCATCTGCTACATGCCCCACATTAGTCAAGTACCTTTGCTTCCTTTGATCCAGGTCTCAGAAAAGACTTTCCTACTGAGGATTTTCAGATGTTTATCACTGAGCTGAGAGGCTAACTCTGGAATTTTCTTCAGCATACTCCACACAATGTTGTGTTCAAGGATTGTTCTGTGAATTGGCCTTATAAAAGAAAGAGAGATTATAAATTCAGAGAGCACAGCAAAATATATAAATAAAATAAAATCTTTAAACTGACGGTGCTTTCATTTTATTTTTATTTAGAGTTGTTTCAAGAATTCATTTGACTTATTAATCAATTTTCAGCATTTACTCGCTTTCCAATATTAAAATATGCCATGATTCCTTAAACTTTGATAAAAACTTAATTATAAAGACCATATCATTTATTAGCAATAAAGACTATTTTTAAATATTAACTAATGAAGATTTACTTTAATTCCTACTTTTTATACTTGATCTTTAACATTTATGCATTATTAAAGTTGGGTAAAAATGAAACTATAGCTTAACACTTAATGATTTATGATTTAAATGAGATGATATATATGCAATTTTATATTGTGCATGTATTGATGTGTTTATTTATTTGGAATTCATGATCATCATACCTCAGCATCCTAAGCACTAAGTTTACAGGCATGTGCAAACACATCTGGTCTTATTTAATCATTAAATTATTTATTAGTCATTAAATTGAGTAAATGCAGCACTATAATTAATGTAAGAAGTTCATGTTATACTGAGTTCTGATAACATAATTATTGTACATTCAACCAAAGAGTATTCAGTGTTTTCAAGTAACTTTTAAGATCAATATGAAAAATTAGTTTAGTTCCAGAAATGTAACTTATGGTGCCCATGACACATGATGGGTTCTGCCAGTAACAATTCCACTAAGACCTCCTGTTCTATAGTAGTTTGGATGAAAAAATCCCCATAGGCTCAAGCATTTGAATACTTGATCACTCTTCAGTGGCTGTTTGTGGAAGGATGACCAGAAGTTATATGTCACTGTGAGTAGGGTTGGGGTTGTAAAAGCCTCCTGGCAACCCCAAATGTGCACTCCCTACCTCCAAACTTACAGTGTGAGAAGTAAGAGCTCAGACATTTCTGCCACTGTGACTTCACTGTGTCATCATCAACTCTAACCCTCTGGATCCATACACCCCATAATTAATTTTCTTTTATGTATTGCCTTGTTCATGGTGCTGATTCACAACAAGAGAAAAGTAATTAATGCATATGCTTTTGGACTTATATCTTTACACTTGGATGATGATATAAATTGTCTTTCTGTTGCAACTTTTATCCAACACATCCAAAAACAATAGCTAATGGCCAGCCTTGAGAACTATCTTTAGAAAGTATCTCCCTATTAAGTATATATCATTTTAAAATGTGTACCTAAGATGCTGTAATAATTTGTATCAGAAATCTAGCAATATAATATTTAAAGTGTAGGGTATATATCATTGGAATCAATGCGATGGCTCAGGAGATAAAGTGTTCTTTCTGTCAAGCCTGAGGACCTGAGTTCTATCCCTGGCCCCACAAAGTAGGAAAAGAAAATCAACTCTTGCAATTTGTCCTCTGGTTCCAACATGTGGCCAGCCATATCCTTCAATACACAAAATAAATATATGTAAAAATAAATTTAAATATGTCATTAACTTAGTGATCATAAAGGAGATATGTCTGTGTGGAAACATTTATTATTCATCTATAATAAGATATAACATGAACCAGGTGCTTAGAAAATTTACTTCACAGAACATTATATTTAATGTGTTTAGTATTGATAGCTTGACGCAATGGATCATTAACACAGAGAAGTGGACCAATTTGCAAACCTAAGTGGAAGGGAAGAGAGAGAAGACAGAAATATGAAGCACAGTTACAAAAAGCAAGTGCTTCCGTGTGCCTACTTAGCAAGAAGGAGCTGAAAGTGAAAAAGACTTGGATATAAAAGGTCCATTAAGTCTGCATGGTTAAATAAAGGTGTCTCACCCTATGGCAAAGGTCTAATGAAAAGTTCTGCCTTTCCATCTAAGTTATTGATCCAGCAGCCTTTGGGGAAAGCTGAGAATGGTGAAAGTGAGATGAATCAACAGTTGTAAAAGCAATGTCTGTAGCAGAGCCATTGCTTTGGTCACTGGCAAGTAGGTGATGCTAGAAATAGAGAGATACTTTTGAATAGTTAAAGGATGTTTTTGCTAAAATATCAAGTATTATAACCTAGTAAAACTGTAAGTCATTGAACTTTCAAATCATAACACACTAATCCTCACCTTCAAACAGAACAACTTCTCCAGTGCCCTAGTTACATTTACTCACTAGCATAAGAGATGAGAGGAAATTTCATACATAGTAAAGACAAAATGTGTGCTTTATCCCAGGATCCCCTTTCCCCTTATTGAAAAAAAAAAAAAACAGCCGGGCGGTGGTGGTACAGGTCTTTAATCCCAGCACTTGGGAGGCAGAGGCAGGAGGATCTCTGTGAGTTCGAGGCCGGGCTGGACTGACAGCCTCCAAAACAATACAGAAAAAGCCTGTCTCGTAAAACCAAAAAAAACCAAAAAACAAAAAAAAAAAAACTGTTAATACTGTTAGGGCAATGGTTCAATAAATCAGCTCATGGAAATAAATCAGCATTGTTTTCATGACTAATCCCTTCAATGTGATTCTATCTCATTATTTTCCTGATTAGGCTGTTAATGATAGGTTGCCTTTCCCTGTTCCCACCATTATGCATGTGTAAGAAGAAAAGTGCTTTTGATATTAGTGGACCAGAAATTACTAAACTGGATCTCAGTGGAGAGAAGGTTGTATACCTAGGAGTCACAACGTTGAGATGTAATCTTGAATGAAAATTTTAGTTGTCTTTTAGTGAAAGGATGAAAATGGGTTAGGAAAAATACCACATATCAATAGTTGGTAGCTAAAGAGACAACATTTTGTGGACACCAGAACTATCAAACAATCAATTCCTGTTGTATCTAGGCATTTACTAATTTCCATACCCCCTTTGACCATATGCCTGAGTTTTAACCAGCAACAACTAAACAGACATACAGAAGCATGGCTTATTAAATGGTAAAAAATTTAAAGCATTCAATATGAACATATAAATAATGTGTATGCTCACCTAGTGGATACAAAATCATGCAAGTATTCAAGTATGTGCTTAGCTTCATGGCTGTTCAATGCCTAACCCAGGGACAATGAAAGCAATCTCTCTCTCTCTCTCTCTCTCTCTCTCTCTCTCTCTCTCTCTCTCTCTCTCTCTCTCTCTCTCTCTCTGTGTGTGTGTGTGTGTCTTTCTCTACCTCTTCTCTTTCTCCCTCTTCTCACCCCCCTCCATTCTCTCTCTCTCATACACATACACACACAATAGACACACATGGATTTTCGTCTGCCCTAGGTTTGCACAGATCTATGCATGGTGTCAAAACTACTGTGAGTTTACATGTGCTACTGCCTTGTGTTTTAAAAACACTGATTCTTTGTAGTCATCTACCAATTCTAGTTCTTACAGTCTTTCTGTCCTCTCTTCCATTATGATCCATTAACCCTGCATAAAAAGAAAGGCATACATATTGCCTTTATGACTAAATATTCCACAATCTATTATTCTGTGTACAGTGCCCAGTTATAGGTCTCCATGTTAATTGTTATTTACTACAAAAAGTAACCTTCTCTCATGAGGGCTGAGGAATATACAACATATCAAAATACATAGTACAGAAAGAATTCCTAAGAGGAGAATTATAGCACAAAATACCTACATCAAGAAATCTGGAAAAGTGTATATTACTGACTCAATGATGCACTTGAAGGCTTTGGAAAAATTTTTAAAAAAGACAACACCCAAAAAGAATAAAAGACAGGAAGAGATAGATCATCAAAAACAGTGTGAAATTAAAAACATAGAAACAAATTAATTAATTAACTGAAGACTTGGTTCTTTGCAAATATTAATAAGATTGACAAGCCATTAGCCAAATTAACCAAAGAATGAGGACCTAAATTAATAAATTTAGAAGTGAAGATACTGAAGAAATGGCTCAGCAGTTAAGAACACTCCCTGCTCTTCCAGAGGATGCTGGTTCAGATCCCAGTACCCATCTGACATTTCACAATGATTTTTATCTCCAGTTATAGGATAAAATCGAAGAAGAAAAGAGAAATGACATCACAGACATTGAAGAGTTTCAGAAAGCTATAAGCACACAGTTTAAAAACCTATGTTCAACTAAACTGTAAAATTGAGATAGAGTTTTTTTTTATTGTTGTTGTTGTTTTTCAAGCATTAATTTTACTTTCACCAATATTTCATAGATTTTGCAGTTCAGGTCGTACATTTTTCTTAAATTTCACATGAGTATTTTATACTTTAGAGGCTGTTTGAAATGGTCTGTCTTCAAAGATATTCATCGGTGGTGTATAGATTGTATGGCTAAGTCTTAATCACATCCTTCACTTTTTTGAGCCTGTTTATCATCTGAATTGAATCCACTGGATTCCTTAGTATTTTCTGTACCAAAGACATAATTTGTAAGCAGAGGCAATTTTCATGTTCCTTCCTGGTAGATTTCTACTTCTTTCAAACTGTCAATGTTTCTTGATTGGACTACTATTATAATGCTGAACAATATGTATTCTCCTGTTTTCCAATTTTAAGGAGTAAAACAAACAAACTAGCCTATTCCAGGGGTTTCAGGTAAACTTTGAGGTAAAAGAAATATTTTGGAGTTTTCTATGCTAGTCTTTCCTGTCCCAGCATGATGTAAAAGCTGGAGTCTCATGGCTAACCTTTGTAATCTTGTCTTCCACATTCACAGCTGTACAGACACATGCCCTAAGTTTTGAGATCTTTAAAGTCTGTTGACTTCACACTCAGCTAGTACATCATATTTCTTACTCAAGAGACTGACTACTTCACAGAACATATTTGATGCATAGAAAATTGACTATGTTTCCTTTATGGTTACTATACTCTAGACTATTTTGCTTACATTCATTCAGATGAATAAAGAAAATGAGGCTTTTGCATTTTTCTAAAACTGATTTAATCTTTTACTAACTTAATCTAATAGGATGGAGAATAAATCAAAAACAAAAATCCTTCCACTATTAACAGCATTATACCTTTGTACATA